AAACGGTATTGGTTTCCTTATTTCTTTTTCAGCAATCTCTTTGCTGGTGTAGAGGAATCCAACTGATTTTTGGATGTTGATCTTATATCCTGCCATGATGCTAAATCTCTCAAATTAGTACCAGTAGATTTTTGACTGAGTCTCTTGCGTTTTCAAGGTATAGGATCATATTATCAGCATAATTTTTCACTTTTGTAATATAAATTTCTACTTTATGCCTGCTCCACCACTGTATTTTGGAAAAGATAACATATATTCTAGATTTTACAGATTGATAGATGATGAGGACTTTTGCCCCTGGATTGAATTTGATTTAAGATTTTGGGATGATATGATGGGATGACTATGTTTTTACGTGTGTGAAAGATAAGAATTTTGGGGGGTTAAAGGGTGGGATGTTATGAGTTAAATTGTGTCTCCAAAAAATATTTGTCAATTTGGCTGGGCCATGATTCTCAGTATTATGTAATTATCATCCAGTTTGTGATTTGATGTAATTATCCTATGTGTTGTAAATGCTAACCTCTACAAGGTATGTAGATGACACAACCTTGCTTGCTGAAAGTGAAGAGAACTTGAAGCATTTACTGATGATCAAAGACTATAACTTTCAGTGTATAGCCTCAACATAAAGAAAATAAAAATCCTTACAACTGGTCTAATAAGCAACATCATAATAAGCAGAGAAAAGATTGAAGTTGTCAAGGATTTCATTTTACTTAGACCAACAATCAATGCCCATGAAAGCAGCAGTCAAATCAAAGGATGTATTGCATTGGGCAAATCTGCAGCGAAGGACCTCTTTAGATTATTAAAAAGCAATGTTACCTTGAGGAGTAAGGAGCACCTGCTCCAAACCATGGTATTTTCAGTTTCCTCATATGCATGTGAAAGCTGGACAATTAATAAGACCAAAGAAGAATTCATGCCTTTGAAGTATGTTGTTGGCAAAGAATATTGAATATACTGTGGACTGCCAGACAAATGAACAAATATGTCTTGGAAGAAGTATAACCAGAACGATCCTTAGAAGTGAGAATGGTGCAACTTTGTCTCACATAGTTTGCACATATTATCAGAATGGACCAGTCCCTGGAGAAGGATATTGTTTTGGTTGCCTAGTGCCACTCTAACAGAAAATAGCACAAATGGGTGGCCTGAACAAACAGATATTTAGTCTCAAAGTTCAGGAGGCCAGAAGTCCAAGTTCAAAGTGATAGCTCTAGGGGCCAGGTGAAGGCCCCTTGACCTTGGGCTTCAGCTCAGCCTCTTGCTCCCAGCCCACTCAAGGTGAAGGCTTTTCTTAACTCAAACAGCTGCTGGCTGCTGAGGCTGATAAGCCCAAGGTCAACAAACAAAATCGTACAGTTCCAAGATTACCAAACAACATGGCAGGTCACTAGCTCAAGTCCAGACACAGTCCCAAGATCAGCAGGAAACATGGCAGGCTGGTGACTGAAGACTCAGTTACATGCAGGGTCCAAGCATGCCAAAAAAGCTGTAGAGACCTTTCTCAATGCTTTTCCTTATATACTGGAAGCAGACCACATCCCTAAAGTAGCTACTCATCTGCTCACTGCAGATTCCACCATGGAGTTGATTACCAGTCTCATCATGGGGAATAACTACATCCAGCTGCCCAGCCACTCAAAACCAGGCCCAGTCAAGTTGACACACAGCTACTGAAGATACCATGCTTGGTAAAGTAGAATGACAGCAGAAAAGAAGACCCTCAATTAGATGGATTAACACAGTGGCTGCAAAAATGTGCTCAAACATAGAAAATATTGTGAGGATGGTGCAGAGCTGGGAAGTGTGTTGTTCTGTTGTACATAGAGTCACTATGAGACAGAACCTACTCAATGGCACCTAACATCACATAACCTAACATGATGTTAATGAAGAACGATTAGAGGCAGGCATGTTAATGAGGCAGGATACAATCTACATGATTAGTTGTATCTTAAATCAATTTGTTTTCAGATATAAATAGATTAAACATGCTAGCAGAGACCAAAGGGACCTGCTATCACCAAGAAAAAGCCAAAATCAGAGTGTGTGCTTTGGGCCTAGGGTCCCTACACTGAGAAGCTCTGGGGCCCAGGGGAAGATCTCTAAGGAATGCTGGTCTCACCCATACTGAAAGGAGGACAAGAACCTTCCCCCAGAGCCGACACAGAAAGAAAGCCTTCCCTTAGACCTAGCACCCTGAATTTGGACTTTTAGCCTCCTAAACTGAGGGAATACATTTCTGTTTCTTAAAGTCATCCTTTCATGATATTTCTGTTATAGCAGCACTAGATAACTAAGACACCCACCCCACACGCCCGAATGAGAAAATTTTGTTCTGTGCTGCCAAATACCACAGTACAAGTCTTACTGTTCCCTAGGCAATTTGTAAAATGCTGTTAACATTTCACCTAAGGCAGGTGCTGGATCTTCTTGTGCTGTAAGTGTGTGGAAAGTGGGAAAGATTGGGGTTCTGACAAGTGATGAGGTCTCATGTACAGATCTTCAAATAACTCACATTTTGCAAGTCTCACTCCTCTTTCTTACCCTTTGCTATACCTGCTGACTCCAGGATATCTCTGGTTTCTCACAGGCAGCCTGACTCCCTTCAAGGCAGCATCTCTCCCTTTCTCTCCTTGTTCACCCAGGTCTCAGAAGGAACAGGGAGCTTTCTATCCTTTTGAACTCAGCCAAACTCTTCTTCCCCTTTTCCTAACAGGTAATATTTACTGAATGCTTACCATACAGCAAGCATTCAGAAAGCACAAACTCAATTAGTCTTCATAACAACTTTATGAAGTTGGTGCTATTACTATCCTCATTTTATAGGTGGGGAAACTAAAACCACAGAGAGGTTAATTAATTTGCTCAATATTACGCAGCTAGTAAGTGGCAGAATTGAGATTCAATTCCAGATGGTTTGAATTCAGAGTCTGTATTTTGAACCACTGTTTTATATTTTCAGTCCTGCCCCAGCCTGTCTTGGCCTCTGACTGTTCTAGAGATTGTAAACCTCATATAAGTGGGACTATGAATTTGTTATGGGATACTGGATAAGTGCCTCCTGTCTCTAGGCTAAAGCAGTACCAGAAAGGACTGGAATTGGAGGCTTACTGTACCAGCTCATTTCTCATATCTGCTACCATTTTAAGATGATCAATGATAAGTGACTTATCTTTAGCCCCAGTTACTGCGATCTTGTAGATGTGTATAGGAAAGAAAAACCCCACCCTGAGCCAACATAACAAACAGACAGAACAAGAACTCTGGTATATTTAGTTTCCATTTATCTTACAGCTGGATGAGGGGAAAAGGGAGGCATGGAACTGGTCCCTCTCCAGGCAAGATGTCAGCCCCAGAACTTGAACAATCTTGGCTATATGGGCCTCAATGCCACATTCAGAGCCTTCCCCACCCTTCAGAATGGTCCCACCCTCTCAATAGAAGTGATACCTGGAGGTTTAAAAGAGCAAGTTTTCGGAGATGAAGCTCAGACCTTCTGACTTGAGCAATAAACCCACGCCAGAGGTGGCATCATGTCTGGGTTGAAGCACCTCGTCTGTGTCAGCTTTTTGCTGACCATTCTTCTGAAACTAACATAACAGGAACCCCCTGACTTCCTCTCTACAAGCATAAAGGTGAGTTCTGGGATGAGGGAACAAACCTCTGGGATTTGTAAAAAAATTATCTTCTTAGGGGAACAGGGGAAGTTCATTTGTTCTGTTCCCTCAGTCCTTTGACTGAGAAGCTAGGGTGAGAGAAAAGAGTTAACTGTTTACTGAGCACATATCAGGTGCTCCACCAGAGGTTCTAGAGTTATTATTTCATTTTGTCTTCACAACAACACCCATCTATGACCTAGATTCTATTTTTATCTCCATTATATAGAGAAGGAAACTACTCCACACTGGGAATGAACATTCTGTATGAGTAGATAGAGAGAAGGAATGTGACTTCAGGAAATGTGAAGAAGATTGATAGCTTATTTGCTGTTTGACCTCAATCTCTGCACTTTAGTTAAGACATCTGTAAAATATGGAAAATAATAATATCAAGCTCATAGTTCTGACATGATATGCCAAATGCTTATCATATTTGCAGTGCATGACTGCACTTATCAGCTGCAATTCTGAACTCCTGAATGCATAAATAGGAAAATTTTATGTGTACATTTTATGTGTAAATTTTGGGTTCCTATGCACCAGCCCATCTAGTCCAAGGATAGTCTACCTAACCCACTTCCCTGTGTTCTCTCTCAGTTGTTGATATGTATATATATATATATATATAGAGAGAGAGAGAGAGAGAGAGAGAGAGAGATAATGAGACTAGTGAGATGACTAGTGAGACAGAGAGAGAGAGATAGAGAAAGGAAAATGGGGCAATCTACTTCTGTAAAGATTTACCATCTTGGAAACCTAATGGGGGTCACTATAAGTCAGAATCAACTTGATTGCAGTGCACACACACACACACACAATGCCTGTCATAGAGTAGGGTTTAGTAAAGGGCAGCTGTTCTGTTATATTCTGAAGCCTTGCTACTTATAATGAAATCTGTGGACCAGCAGCATCAGCATCACCTGGGAGCTTGCTGGAAATGCACTCTCAGACCTCACTTCAGATTTGCTGAATCAGAATCTGCATTTTTAACAAGATCCCCAAGAGATTAAAGTGCACATTAATCTTGGAGAAGCACTTATCCAGAGGTCCTTTCAATCATGATCTGCGAGTCTTTGGTTCTGAAATTTGATAAAGCTTTCTGAAATATTAGGCAGATGTACAAAATGGATGACAGAGGGCAGTTTGCCTCTCTTGGCCTCAGTTTCCTCACCCTGAGACCTGTCCAGGAGTCTTGGGTTCCTATGCACCAGCCCATCTAGTCCAAGGATAGTCTACCTAGCCCCTTTCCCTGTCTTCTCTCTCAGTTGTTGATGAGGAGCTACTCTGTGCAATCCACTGTGGTATCTCACTGTGACCACACCTTGGTCACCACTATCCTGTTTGATCCACATGCTGAGTTCCAAGAAGCAATCTTTGACCTGGGTCTGCCTTGCCTTGCCTTTATCTCCAATTTCACCTCAGTCATTCATTCATACATTCATTCATTCTTCTGTTCTTGTACCAGACTACAGTGGTAAAGAGCATGCACTCTGAGATAATATCTATTGAGTTTGAATCCTGGTTCCACTAACTATGTGACTCAGAGAAAGTTATTTCATTTCTCAGAGTTTCATTTTATATATCTATGAAATGGGGATACAATTACTAGCCACCTGCAAAGAGTTAATGAGTTAATATATGTAAAAGTGTATGCTAAATATCAGTGCTGGGCACATATTAAGTACTTGATAATACTGTTGTTGTTGTTGTTATGTGCTGTCGAGTCAGCCCCAACTCATGGCGACCTCTCCTTGGGTTTCCGAGGGAGTATCACTACAGAAGTAAATTGTGCAACCTTCCTTCCAAGGAGTGGCTGGTGGGTTTGAACCTCCAGCCTTCTGGTTAGCAGTCAAGTGCCTTAGGCACTATGCTACCAGAGCTCCCTTGATAATATTAGCTACTATTATTTAAAAAAAAAATTTTCTAATGCTGACTGTGTGTCGCTGTGGCAGGTGCTATGGAAAGAGGGAGATGCATTGCATACAGTTCCTGTTCCCATAGAATTCACGGTCTGTGGGGAATATGAAAAAAGGAAATATAATTTTCATAAAATATGCTGGGAGAAGAGAACAGTTTGAGTATGCATGGTGGGGATAGTGAGGCCAACCAGGAGACAGTGGTCTGTTCCCCAGCTTCACCTCATCCCCAAGCAGTCAGAGAAAGCCTCATAGAGATGACACCTACACTGAGGCTTGAAACATGAGATGTTCACTAGGCAGGCAGAGTTAGGGCAAGGCTGGGAAATTCAGGCAAAAAGAGTAAATGAACAAAATGTTCCCTTTTTAGGGGAACTGCAAGTACCTCAGTGTCACTGATATGTAGGGTATAAGGTAGGGGGTAAAAGAGTGATAAGAAATGAGACTGGAGAGCTAGGCAAAGACTAGGTGATGGAGAGTTTACAATGCCAGACCAAATAACTGGACCTTACTTAATGATCTCCAAACCATTTTTTGTGTGTACACCCCTATCAGGAAAAACTTGATCTCTCTAAATACATATATTTACTAATTTATAAATTATGTAAATATACTATTGAGTAGATATATTAGTAGCATGTGCAAAGATATAAATTTTTAAAGAATGAGGGGAAAAAAACTTTAATATTGTTCTCCTACTCCCTCATGATTTCTCTCCAGCATGCCCTGGAGCATGTCCATCCAGCTTTGGAGATAACTATGGCCCGTAATGAGGAGACACAGCAAGGTTTTAATCAAGGAATAATCAGGGGGTGGGCTGGAACGGGGCAGCCAGGAGATTCGTAAAGAAACCAGAGCCATGTGAAATAGGCTAAGGGCTATTTGAGAGGCCATGTTGTTGTTGTTCTGTGCCGTCCAGTCGTACGTGACTCACAGCAACCCCTCCTTGGGTTTCTGAGGCAGTATCACTGTGAAGTAGATTGCCCAACCTTCCAAGGAGAACCTGGTAGGCTTGAACCGCCAGGCTTCTGGTTAGCAGTCAAGTGCCTTAGGCACTATGCTTGAGAGTCCATAAGGAGGCAGAAACAACCTGATTGCTTATAAGGAGTAAAGAAACATAGAGGATGCTTCCTTGATTTTACCTGGTACAGCTTGTTCAGGCTGGTAGAGGATGGTGACTTCATTTTGAAGATGAATAAAGGAGAAAGAACAGATAAGGAGAAAGGTTAGCAGGACTCATATCACACTTTAGTGTCAGTTAGAAAAAAGCTTTGCTGTGGGTAGAAGACTCTCAGATTTAGGAGAACCCAGCACAGGCTGAGTTTCAGCCCCTACTTACCCCATCAACACCACCACTGCTAATAAGGAGGCGGGTCCGGTGCAACCTGTGAGAATTCAACAGCAGCCTTGGAGCCTAGACCTTGCAGTCAAGAACTCTCTGTGCTGGATGAACATATGACTCTCTCTTGGAGAGAGGATAAGTTGGAGGTGATAGCTGTGAAGTCAAGATCAGGGAGTTCAGGGGAGACGTGGTGAGGTAGTCAAGGAGGGCTTCCTGGAAGCAGAATTCAATATGAGTAGGATGTGAAAGGACCAAGATCATTTTGGGGACCCAGGAGAGCAAAGGCAAAAAGGTAGGCATGAGTCTGGGATATGAGGGCTAACCAGAGAAGTTGACAGTCAAGCAGAATTTAGATTTTTGCTTCAATAGAAAAAACACCAAAAGAAATTTTTTTTAAAAAAAGCAGGCTGGAAGAAATGTTCCTGGGCAGAGTCTGTGGAAAGTATTCTGGCTGGAGGCAGCACACACAGAGGCCCCAATGTCTTGCTGCCAGACCAGCTTCACTCACCACCCCCACACCCCCCAGGACGCCTTGGGTCAGTGCAACCTTGGTGTACGTCCACGCATATCCCAGCCACTGCCTAGAAACACTTTCCACTTTCTAGAGGCTGCATATGCTCCTTCAATGTTCCTGGAAGCTGACACCTTGGTCAGGTGGCTTTCCTGATACCCGTGCCTTGGTTTCCCCACTTGTAAAATAGAGACTGAGGTACCTACCTCCTACAGAATTGCACTAACATTTTCTAGAACATCAAGCTAAAAATAAATAAATAAATAAAAGCAGGAAACAAACTCACTACCGTCAAGTCAGTTTCAACTCATAGCAACTCCCATTGGGTTTCTAAGGCTATAAATTTTTATGAAAGCATACTTCCTCATCTTTCTTCTGCAGAGCAGCTGTGGGTTCAAACTACCCGCCTTTTGGGTTATAGCCAAATACCTTAACCACTACACCACCAGAACACCAAACTATCACTCCTCAAAGGCCAGCCCTGACCCAATCCCTCCTTTTTTCAAGAATTATCTGTGACTCCCTATTCTCCATGGCAAGATGTCCTTGCTGCCATATGAGCTCATTGACTCTGGCTTTCAAAGTCCTTTATTCTTTAGGCCTACTCAGCCAAAAAAACATCTCCATACCTCCTTTCCCTGT